TATATATATACAGATAAATATTTGGCAATTCAATATATGAGATTATTTCAAGTACTGGATATTTTAGAAACACCTTTCTTTTATTTTATAAATAATATTTGCAATTACATATACACCTACTTACATATATAGAGTAGCTACGTCGTGAGTCACGTGCCCTTCTCTGCCCATGGCCAGTCGCCAGTTGGCACACATTTATTTGCGTTACCTTTACTTGCAATCGTAAATTTCAATTCCAGCCACTTAACATGGTGCAAAAAGATTATGCGACAGCGCCTTAGCGAAATGAAAGTAAATGGCAGACATGGCCAAAGGAAGTGCTAAAAGACGAGACACAGAACACATGGACGTGGACATGGAACTGGAGGCCTTTGGCTTTTTAACTAATTAAATTGTTGACGCACAGCCAAATAAAAACAAAAAGCGAAACACACACACACACGCACACACACATTAAAATAAACAAATATGAGCAAAAGGGCAAGGGAGAGAATTTTTAATATCTTGCTCCCATGTGAGAGTCAATTCCAAGAAAAGAATAATAAATAAAATTACACAAAGGGCACGCAGCATGTTGGATGAGTGTGCGAGTGTGTGTGTGTGTGTGTTTACGCCTTTTAACCCTTTCAAATCAGACTCGACCGCAACGCTCGTTGCTTGTGTAAACACATTAATCATCCAAATGCCACAGACAGAGATCGAAAGTGCTACCACAGCGACTCCTTCTGCTCCAGCTCCAGCTCCAGGTCCATCTCCATCTGCTGGCACAGGGCACTGCGGGTAGTTTGGTGCAATCATAAACAGCACACCGTGTAGGAAATTAAAAGCTCCTGCAAATAAGCCAAAACAAAGATAGAAAAACAAATAAACAAACCGACAGACAGACAGACAGACTGAGAACAAAAATAAAAATCACAAAAACAAAACAGGAAACGAAGCAAGCGGAAATAAAGAAACAACGGTTAGCACACGGCCCTGGCACGTGTGATTATCTGTGGGTTGACGTCAGAGCAGTCGCACAATATGCAAATACTTTTGTTTCTCACTGTAGCCATGCAAATTTGCTCGGTTTGACCTCCGGCCCCATACAACTTCCAACAGCAAACAGACACACACACACACACACTCCTCCTGCTCCCTTTCGTCCCCTCGTGCCTTGGCTCACCCACAACATTTTGTACGTTTTGTGGTTTGGCTCGTTTCGAATTTGCTGTCTGCTTAACAACAGTTATTATTACATTTCAACTAATTGAGTTGATTAGAGGAAATTGAGCTAATTTCGATTCAATGGAGCAGCTAGCAAACGAATAACCATTTGTTATCTCTCGATTAATTTGTGGTGTTTCAACAAACTCATTTTAAATACTATTTCTAAATACTAAATATATACCATAGTAGCGATAAGCATTCGCTTTATAGCATTTCTTGACCTAACCCAAGAGTGAATTCGCTAATCAGCAAACTTTTGCTTATCGTCTTGATAGTATTGAGCTTTTAATTAATGATTAACAATAATTTGGGTTTTCTATCGTATTCTCTCCAATTATTGGACTAATAGTCCAACAGTCGTAGAAAACAGTTTTTCTATAATCTTGTGCCGGATTTAGACTTATACTATGTATAAAAAAAAGCGATTTTTTGGCCTGTCATGATTAAAAGCAAAAAATAAATTGGCACCCATGCAAGCATAAGAGGAAAATAAATTAATTTTGGAGAAATAATGGACATTCAATTGATCATTAATGAGATTATGAAGTGTAAATTTTTGTATGATCAGAACAATTTTGCAAGCGCTTCGCAAATATTTTCTGCTACTATTCATTTATCCCAATTATCTATTTGCTAAGAAAATCATATAGAGTATTGTCTAGTCATGCTTAGTTTTGGATGTTACATGGCTGGAAATTCGCAGTTTCTTAATGATGTACCCTATTAATCGAACAGTATTGAACTGCATTATTGATCACATACGAATGTAAATGCTAAATCGAGAATCAATAAGTCTTGAGAATGATCGACTATAATATACTCATTAGGCAATTATTTAAAATTAAATTATATGGATTTATGGATTAAATATATTTGAAAATTCAATTAATTTCATGAAAATTAAATTACTAAAAATAAAAATGA